TCCGAAAAGTGTAAGCTCCTCTAGATTCTAGAATCTAGAGTAGGCCTACGCTTAGGCTTTAATTTTGAAACCAGTTGTTTCGTTTTTATGTCCCTAGAATTCCAGAAGAAAAAGAAATCTAGAATCTAGTAAATTACTAGTATGTTTGTTTTTCATTTCATCACTAAAAATATAGGCCTAAATAAATAGAGCATAACTAGGCAGCACTAGGCTGTGTGGTTTAAAAAATAAATGATAGGCCTAATGTTATTTTTAAAAATGCTGGTCTGTCTGCAAAGTTTTGAGTACAAATCACTTAAACGTGGGGTTCACAGAAGATCAAACATGATGTTTCTATACAGCCAATTGGTGCTTGTCTTCCTCGATCTAAAGTGAAACTGCTGGTTATGGAAATGAAATGTAGCCTTAAACACAAAATTATTTTCAAGCTATCTGCATTTGCCACTCTTTCATGGCTGCTGTGAAGGCAAAATTGACAACAAGATGATTTTTATTAATTCATGTCAACATGATGGAAGGATTTGTGTCAACTTGTTGATGCCCATTCATTACTCGCCATTAGGCCTAAAATAATTTAAATTTCTCTTGATAGTCTTGATTTTTACCGACCCTATTTCAAATATAGGTGTTTCAGGTCTATGTCAGGTTGTCTGTATCTTAAACTGATTTTCTCCATTGAAACTATCTTGTTCAGCATATCTCAAATTTAACTCAATGCTCATATCTAAAAAAAATCTCCTGTGTAGGGGCACTAGGTATGTTTAGGTACCACTGTAACATGTGAACTATTAAATATAATAAGAGACCAATTTTTAAGGCCCAAACTCTTTCCACTGATTCTTAGAGAAATTCATTAACTGAACCAGCAAACTAGATAGGTACTGTTAATAACCAGCAAAAGTCAAATTAGTTAGTGTCACACTTGTTTCTAATCTAGTAGTAGATAGGCTATAATAGGCCTATAGAATAGAATATAGATTCTAGATCTGATTTCTTCATTTCTTTCTTTTATTTAGAATTTAGGCCTAATGAAATTATTTATTATTTCGTTTCAATGTTGTTGTTTTTTTTAAATATTTAATTATTAGGCTTTGGTCAATTCATAATTAGTACATTTTAAAAGTACATAAACTATGTCCTTGTTAAATATGTATAATCCACTTTGAAAATGGACTTTACCAATAACCATACTCATTTAAATAATAAGAATAAAACCAAATGGTGTAACCAAACTAAAAATTTGCAGATTTTAAAAAAAAAAAAAATTTGCACGTCCTACAGAATTCAAATCTGTAAAAATTGGCCCTACAAAATTGTTCTTTTTAAAAACCTGTTGCGATACAGACTTAAGTAAGGACCAATGAAGCACAGTTTAGCACACTACAGCACTTTATTCTACGGTAGACATACAGTTATTATTGTTGATAATAATTCTTCAGTGTAAGATAAAGTTTAGGAGTATCAGCTTATCAACTAGTCTTTTACTTCATTTATTAAATTTTGAGAAAACCAATTGTTATTCTTTACTTTCAGCCATGGATCAGGTTATGCAGTTTGTTGAGCCAGCAAAGACATTTGCAAAAGACTCAATCAGACTAGTAAAGAAATGCACTAAGCCAGATAGAAAAGGTACATTTTAGTCATAATTCTTTATAAATCAGTGAATCCAGGTGCTATGGGGTGTTGGTTGATAGATATATAATGGATTTCCACAATGTCAACAATCATATTTTAAGCAGTGTAGTTGCTTGTTAAAAATCCAAAGATTCATTTTTCCAAGTTCAAATTATTTGTCACCAAACCTTTAGTGGGTTTTTTTAATTACATAAATTAGTAGAAATCATATAGACCTTGTATTGTTAAGCTGTTAAATACAATATAGAAAAATAAACTCTTTATTGGTACATCTTATAAATTAAATACTAGATTAAAATAATATTTTTTTATTTTTTGATCCTTTTTTTTCCATTTTACAATTGTCCTAAAACAATAGGAGTTTTTTTATTTATTGTGAATTTTTAAAAACATTTTATAGTAATAATTCAGAGCTTAATTTCAAAGAGTTAGTCACTTTGTGCCTCATCCCCAAAGAATAGGATTGTAAAATTTGCAACATCCTAGGAGTTAATGTAACTTACATCATTAAATTTCAGGCTGCTACTTATTTAATGTTAAGAATGCTATTAGCATTGGCAGTCTTTTTTAAATTTTTTTTAGAATCTTTGGAGTATATTTATGTTTTATGATACTTAATCTGATCAAACATTTTCTCATCAGAGTTTCAAAAAATAGCAATGGCCACAGCTATTGGTTTTGCTATCATGGGATTTATTGGATTTTTTGTCAAGCTGATCCACATCCCCATCAATAACATCATTGTGTATGTATCTATTTTAGTCTTAGATTAGTGTTTTGAGCTGGAAAAGTTTTATTTTATAACTATATAAACAATATTATTATTTATGCATTCTTAGTATGTTTTTTTTCCTTCAAGTAAAGTATTAAAATTTTCTTATTTTCTTCTCCAGGGGCTCCTAAATAATTCAATCTGTTGGTTCGGCTGGTTCGAATGTTCATGGCTGTAAGGGTTGAATGTTTTCATCTATTTTTTTCATAAATTATTTCTTTCATTCATCATCATTTTAGAACTGCACATTAAAAGTTTTCAAACTAATTTGCTGTTGTTGTTTTTTTTAGATTTTGTTTGTAAATGAGGCATTGTAACAGCAAAGTTTAAGTTGATATTTATTATCACATTATTGGATAAGGAAGACTATTAAGTTCTAGTTAAGGTAGAACATATGAGAATTCTGTAATACTAGGAGTTAATCATCGCCAGGCAAATATAGTGTACAAAGGTCTGGAATAAATTTGCAAAAAACAAATTTTACAAAGGAGACTTCATAGTTCAACATTGATGCGCTTAGCTTTCGGGGAATTATATTTTTAAAAAGTTATACGCTTTACGATGTACTGGAACTCAACTGAAGAGAACTGCTCTAAATAGGGTATTGGTGAGGTGTAACTGCTCCAGAGGGTAAAAAGTTAATTGTAAACTAAAAATGAGAAAACCTTTTGTTACATGAAAGCATTGGTCCTTTAAAAGTAAAATGTAAGTCAAAATAATCAGTGCCAAGATTTCTACAAGTAATCATAAAATTTTTAGAAAAAGTTTCCTTGCTGTAAATTGGTTCATTAGCAAGACTCATCAGAAGAGATCATATTGGTTCCTGCTTGCTGTGGAATAAGCATTATCTGGGGAGGATCATTTTTTTACCTACATGTAAATATAAATACATGGTGTTTGTATACATCAAAATTTTAGAATAGAATAATAAATTAGGAATGAGTGTGCTGTATTCAATAGATGTAACTAATGTTAAGACCGCTGTCATTACCCCAGCACTCACTTGCCTCTGCTACATTGGCCACTATGCTTACTAGTTTTATCCTGGTTTAGAATCACAATTAGAAGATGGTTTTTAAAAAGTGACATATACTACTGTTTAGTTTAAATCATTATGTAAAAACTGATCAATTAATCTAATATCTTTTCCTATACGTGCCTAAGACACTTTGGGCAGATGAAGTAGATTTCATTTGTTTAAATGACAAATTTACGAGTGTATAGTGGAGCCAGTTGCCTTTGTTTCCCTAACTTAAGTAAGTTAGTTACCCATCAGAGCTGGGTGGAATCAGGGACATCCTAGAGACTATCCAGTGATCCGAAGTCAAAAATATCGGATCATCTAATTTTCAGAACAAAATAGAGAATTCCTTACTAAGGGAAAAAACTAAATTAATATTTTAAGTAAATACATTTTCCATGGTTATTTCCCCTTACTCAAATGTAACTTAAGTGGTAAAATAAATAATAGATGAAGTTTATGGACGACACCTCTGAAGTTATTGATAACAATACGACCACTTTATAAAAATCATTATTTTGTCGCTATTTCACTGGTAACAGTTTTCATACCACAGTGAATTTGAAATAGTCTTATCTTCAATTCTTACTCCGCACATTTCTCACATCTCTAAATCTGTGTATTTTACACTTTAAAATATCACAAGTATAATAAATCTGTTTATAAGGCATCATGTTTTATCATACCAGGTATTCCACTCTGCCAGTAAGTGTGTTGCCTTGTGTATAGAAATTGCCAGTTTGGCATGTAGACTTGTCTAGGCAACCCTCAATTGTGGCATGTAGATTTGTTTCAGCAATACTCCAATGTGACAATACATATAATCTTTATAATTAGTATATTTAGACTTATTTATATTTATGCCTTTCAACTTAGCTTGTAAATGGTAGACATTTTATCATAGGGGAACCATACCCTCCCCTTACACTATTGACAAATGATTACTATTTTCACATGCTTAAAATAAAGTAACTCAGCTGTTTCCTGTTTCTATATTAATTAAACTCCCAAATGGAGCTAAAGATTATCCCACAGGTTTTCCCTACTTGTTCATGTCATCTATCCTGAAGTAAAGTCAGTTTTTACCGAATTTTAAAATTTTTCATCTTTCAGGAAAAATTGTGGCCGTTATCTGGATGTACTTGTTCAAGCACTATATAGCAATCAAAGGTTCCTTGCCCATCTTAGCTACTTATTTGAACATTTTCATTTACTGCTTACTACAATGGAAAAAACACTTGAACAAGTGAAATTCACATTTTAGTGATCTAGGTTTATAAATAGTGTGGTCAATACCATGCCAAATTTACTTTCTCTAATACCAGTGAGTTTACCATCTGAGCTGGGTGAATTCAGGGACATACTACACACATGATCCAAGTTTGCCTTTCAATTAGGGGTCTATTGCTCTACCACATGTTTGAACACATATTTAATTTCCAATTTACTGGTAATTTATCAGAATATATTAAGTGACCTTATATGTCCAAGTTAAAAAAATTATATCTGGGAGCTCTTTGAAAACCTTTATTTTGTTTTAACACTGCTGAATAAAAAATAATCAAGACCATATTTAAATTTAATTCTTTATTGGTACAAAAGTATCACACGTAAATGAAGGGTGTTGATTTCAAAATGATAATTAAAAAAAGCGCCACCACTCACTCATTCAACGATGCTGCAAATAACTGAAGAAAATATTGCCAACGACGTTGATAATAAATACAACATAAGGCAGCATAACTACAATACATATATACAATCAAGCAGACTCACAAGGAAAGCCAAATTGCTCACAGGAAGCAACTGTCTCATCCATAACAAAGCACTTGTAAACTGTTGATACTAGCAGCAAAACAACACTACATAGCCATGTCACTTGGAGCTCTAATATCATCAATCTTAAGTATCATTCGGACCAGTTGAGAGGCAAGCAAGATCTGTTGTTTCTTAGCAGTCAGAGTTTCAATCACAAGCTGCTGCTTCATGTCTGTAACACAAGTAGTTAGTAAATTAGTTATAAGATATCCCGAAGTTAAATCCAATATAACAAAAAGGAAATTGAGATTAACGCATATTTAAATAGAAATGTAAATAAAGTGTTACATCCATAGTTGAATTAGCTTGAATAAAGCTTTAATGGCACTAAGGACTTATTTTAAAGAATCAATGTTTTTATTAGTAGTGGAGTAAAAGATTGGCTCTACCCAACCTTACAAAGCCAATAAAGATGTGACAGCATTAATGCGCAATAGAAAATATTTGAGAAATAGAAATTAGCAGTACTCTCAATTATAAAATGGTGCTTACCATTTGTTCCTTTGTTGAGACAGTCAATGCCCAAGAACGAATTATTTTCCTTTACTTGTTTGGATTTCACATCAGCAAGTGTCTGGAATGGTGACAGTCCACTGTTTTCTGCCAATGCTAAAGGTATGCTTTCTAAAGCTTCAGCAAATGACCTTACTGCATATTGTTCTAAAGTTGAGATCTGAAATTAGGATAAGCAAAACCAACCATGAGAAAACTAACCAAGAGAAGACAAGTTCTCGAGCTAATGAACTAATGTAGAAAAAAATTGCTTACCTTATCAGCAGCTTCCTGGACAGCAAGAGAAGCAGCAATTTCTGGTGCACCACCACCATACACAATTCTGTTATCTCTAACAATATTACGAATTACACAGAGAGCATCATGAATACTTCGCTTAGCTTCTTCAACAATCTGAAATAGAAAAAAGTTGTAGTAAATCATATATTCCTTAACAGTTCAATGCTATTTTCACACCAAATGCCTAATGAGCTAACCATAAAAATATAATACCAAGAAAGCCACAAACCATTTTGTTTCCACCACGAATAAAAATGGTGACTGCTCTAGAATTGTGACATTCCTCAATGACAAGCATACGATCTCTTGTAGTACCAAATGACAATTCTTTTACCAATCCAGCTTTGCCAAGTTTTTCTGCTGTAAGCTCCTCAAACCTGGGTACTATTCTTCCACCTGTTGCAATAGCTATGAGCTGTTCAAAATGTAAATGTTACACTTTATACATAAGAAAGAAAAACTTAAAACTATTCTATAAATATGATACATATAGGCAGAAAACTATTGTCAGGGTAATCTTCAGAGACCATGAATACAAGTTTCATGAGCTGAGGTTATTACCTAGCAAGTTTATATTTGCATGGTGTCTGATCTTAATGGCTATTTAACCACCAGAAATTCCCCATGCATAAACAAAAGGAAAAAAAAATTAGTAGGGATTTCAAAAGTGAATAGGCATTAAGCACACTTACCTCAATCTCTGGGCCACCAACCCATCTGACAGCTGGGAGTTCTCTTTGCAGTAACAGATGATTAGCTTCATCATCAAAACCCCACTGACAAATAACTAAATTAGCTCCTGTGTCTTTAACCTGGCAACAATAAACACAATCTAGTTATTCTAGTCAAGCACATGTTGACCTAAACCTGATTAGTAAATAAAGGGAGAAAAAAACCAACCTGTTGCACCATGGAATCAAACTTTTCTTTCTCATACTCTCTGAGCTTGTGGTAATCTTCAACACTTGTAACATCAAGCTTGTGCTTGGTTTTTGGTTTGGGTGGTTCAAATGGACAGGTGAGAATAGCAATACGAGCATCCTTCACCTCCTAGGATATTTTATTAAACATTTTGTTAACCAAACAGTTGTAACAGCTGTTCTTATTGCTAAGTAAAATTAAGAAAATGAAAATTACTTTAGGCATCTGTGGATGGCTCATATCTTTGTCAACTATCACTCCCTTAACAAGCATGGTATCTTCAAGTTTTCCTCCAACTTTTCCTTCCACTTTGATCAACTCAAAGTCAACATCTTTTCTTTCAAAATCGGCAACAGATAATATAGCATTAACTGCTATTTCAGCCATTTGTCTGTGGCATCTATTTACACTGTAAACAAAAAAAAAAAAGGAATTATAAAGGACAAAAGCAACTACCTCAGTCACAATTGGATCTACATTGTTAATAAAGTTTACTTACATTTTGGAACCTAATGTTGTCATAGCTAGCTGAATAAGTGGTTCTGTATCAGAAAGGTCAACTTTGAAAGTTTCACTAATTTTGTCTAATTTATCTGTAGCTATCTTGGCAGCCATTTCATAACCATCAGAAATTCTAATTGGATGAATACCTTTGTCCAACAACTTTTCAGCTTGCTCAAGCAGGGCACCAGCCAAAACTGGAAAATCAAAAAAAAAAAAATCTAGTTTGATACTCAAATAGAGAGGAAGTTGTGTTGTTTCAAAACAAAAATAAATTAAGGTTTTAAAACAAGCTTTCCCTTTTAAAAACAAAAATGTTTGGGTTAAAAAATATTTGTAAGGATGATCTTCAGAGACCATGACAACAATGTCAAGAGCTGAGGTTGTCATCTTTAATTTTATGTTGCATGTTTTCTGATCTAATAGGCCACAAGACCATTAGAAATTCCTCATGCTTACAAATGGTGATTAAAAATTCTCTTTACCAACTACTCCAGTAGTTCCATCTCCAATTTCATCATCCTGAGACTTGGACAACTGGACCATTAGCTTAGCTATCTGATGATCAACATCCATTAGGTCAAGAATGGTAGCACCATCATTTGTCACTGTCACATCTCCATCAGGCCCAACCATCAATTTATCAAGACCTTTTGGTCCTAATGAGGTTCTTATCACATTGGCTACAGATTTGGCTGCCAGAATGTGAGACTGAAAAAGATACATTTTAAAGATCATGGATCAGACTGTTATGAGTTACCAGTTTCAAGGAATTGCGATAAGAAAACTACTCCCAGCACTTCAGACGGTGTGTAGTGTTTTAATGCAATCTGTTAGGTTAGTAGAATCTATGGGAATAGTCGACAAAATGTGCAAATGATATTAGCCTATTGACATGATTTTGAAACCAAATCTAGAATATTAATCAATTGCTGATTACTGTGGCATGATGTCTGAACTAAGTGGCAAATATTAAGCCATCAGAAATTCTTCATGCATAAAATTAAAATAATAAATTAAAATTATTAGGGCCTAGAGCCCTAAACCTTTTAATTAGGATTATATTCTAGACCTATTGATTAGATCTAGAATCTGCATTGGATAAAGAATTAAGATGCAAGGGTCACAAAAATAAGATCAGTTTCTTCCAGGCTTTTCTTCTGGGGGGGGGGGGGGGGGGGGGAAACCGACGACTCTGCCCCCCCCCCCCCCCCCCAAAAAACAATGGAATTTATATGGAAAATATATTGGAACTAGATCTAGATCTATATTTTAAAAGGGATGTAACAGAATTCTAGAAATCCAGATCTAGATTTAGCTGTCTAAGAATACGGTTAAATAGTAAAACTACAATACATAGGAATGTTCTAGAAATCGAAACTAACCTTGTGAGCATCTTTGCCTGTTAAACGCGATTGCCTTTCTTGATCGCGCAGAATAATGAACGGTCTTCCATATTCATCAAACGCTAATTGCGTTGGTAGTTGATTCATATTTCTCTAAGTTATAAATAAGCAGATGTATATGGATATGTAATGGCCTAACTTGGCCGAAGACGCCGGTTAGAAAATATTTTAGAGAGCGGAAGTTCACTATGGCTATATCGATACCATATATCTCTACGATACCATATTATTATTATTATTATTAAAATTCCTTTCTTTGCACCCATGCGTAGTCTATGCTTCACGACATAACACTCGTTTAAAAAAAATGTTATTTACTGTGAAATATAGTATACATTGTTTCTTCCAGACTTTTTTCTCCGTGGGGGGGGGGGGGGGGGGTCCACCTTAAATTTTCGGGGTGGATTAAAATTTCGGGGGGGAGGGGGGGGGGCGGACGTTGTTAAAACTAGGGGAAATAATCACTCTCTTAATATAAATATAAATATTTCTACAAATTTAATTGTAAATGTCAAAACATCAATAATTACTTCACTATGCGTTTTTACACAAATTCGCTGTCTACAATCAGAATTAAATATATTGTCATCATAAATGCTAAAATATTACAGCATATTGAAAGCTTTTGAAATCGGAGATGGTATAAAATCACGCTTTTCAATCTAAAAACAACTAAATCTAATAGGTGGAACTTTCTGAATAATAGCTTAGGGGTCATCCATAAATGACGTCACGCTTTTTGGACGATTCAAGGGATTTTTTTCCCTCGACGTGGTGGGCGAGGGGGGAGGGGCGGGTGGAATTTTGTGTTTTTAAGTAGAGCTGAAATAAATTTGTGATTACAGAGAATTACAATGATACAAATTTTAAGCAATCGGAAAAGTTATGTTATTACAACGAGACACATCAAAGCAAACATTCTTCCCTTTCAAACATCTATATCTATATACAGTCCTCAAACAGGTTTTTTTTTTTTAATTCAATTGTTTTAAACATTTAAATCAGTAATAATAATTTGTTTGATAGTTTTACACAGCATCAAGGGGTCATCCATAAATGACGTCACACTCGTAGGGGGGAGTGGGGGTCCGTAATTTTGTGACGAAGTGTGATGAGGGGGAGGGGGGGGGGGGGGTTCAGATGTTGCGACGTCACATTTTTGCATTATAAATAAGCAATGTTAGAAAACGAATTTTAGACGTTATTTCGCGTTTTAGATAACTGTTTTAATAAATTGTAATAGTTTAGACAAGATTTTGGAAAAATATCGATGTTTAAAAAAAATTCAACTGTAATTTTGAGGGGGGTTGTAGGTTGAGGTGTGACGTCATTTTAGGGGGGGGGGATCTGGTTTTTTGTGACGACGTGTGACGGAGGGGAGGGGGGGAGGTAAAAATCGTCAAAAAAAGCGTGACGTCATTTATGGATGACCCCCAAGGACATGAACATCAATTGCATATATAATAATCAAAGGGAGAAAATAAAATGGCATAAGAACTAGACTAAAATAAGGTGTGCAAACTCGGTTTCTCTTGACTGCTTAGTTTACTGTGCTCAGTCCTTAGCTGCGGAGTCAAAAGTTCTCATTGTAGTCACCCATGGACAGAAATAGAAACGACCGTGGGAGAAGTGTCTCTGTAATACTCATACTGATCTATCATTCCAAAAATTTCCATGACATAAAATTGACCCTTGGCGATGAGGGCACGCTACCTTGAAATATCCGCCTGTCCGGTTGAATGATCGTTTAATTACACATTTGCATTTTCAGGGGTTTTTTTTTGTTGTTTTTTTTTAAATATTTAGACGTTTTGTATTAGATCTATGTATAAGTAAACCATCTTAAATGAATGAAAGTGGGCTACAAGTAAGAAAGAAATATTACTATTGTAAATCTGTATCAGTCCTCACAAGCCGGTGATGAAAACTGTAATACTAAAGCGAACACACACAACTGACGTTGTAAATTACATGTCTGAGGCCAAAAAAAAAAAAAAAAAAGAAAGAGAAAAAAAAAAAGAGAAAAAAAAAGTCACGCTTTTTGGACGATTTTTACCTTCCTCCTCCCCTTCGTCACACATCGTCACAAAAAGCCAGAGCCCCCCCCCCCCGCTACGCCTCTGAGGTGTGACATTAATGTCACTCTACACAATTACGGCCTGTCCCGTCTTAGGTGGTGAGGTTGTGGGGGGGGGGGGGGATAACCAACTCAGAGTGAACATAGCGTCAGCAGTTTTTAGATGACTGTTGTAAACATACATACAATTATACATATATACTGATTCAGAAATAGATTTAAATAAGTAAGAGTGGTATTATGACTGTAATTTTTTTTACAGAGGGGTCCATGGGGGGAGGGGGTTGTAACTCCCCTACACCCCCCCCCCGCCTATGCCACTGGATAGTATATAGCCTAGAGTCTATAGCTTTGTGACGTTATTTTATGGGGGATGGGGTCTTGTGCGACAATAAGGGTGTGTGTTGTTGTTGTTTTTTACAGTAATCGGCTAAAATAGTGTGATCTTATTTAAGGACAACACACCAGAAGCGACATGACATAAAACCCATTCGACATTAGTCACAAGTGGGCTTCCTTTCCTGCCTAACTTGACTTAGTACGCTTTATCTCATCTTCTGTTACATTTTTCTTGATTCTTAAAATGTCATCAAAAAAGCCTCCCACCCCATTTACACTGTTTTGAAGTTGACTATTTGTCTAGACAAAAGAGATAACTTTAGACTCCATTGTTATAGGTCTGTTTATTGTGTGTGTGTTTTTATGTAAACACACTTGTGTACCGTTTCCGTAAGGTGGACGAAATTGAAAAAAAAAAGTTTTAGTCCGTATACGCAGATGTCTCTCAACGTTACCCCCTTTCCGTGCAGTAGCGTAGCTAGGGCGGGTGGGGCGGCCTCCCCGAGCGCCGACCATTAGGAGGGGGGGGGGGCGCCAAAAGGGGAAGAAAAAAATTGAAAAGCTCATTTTAAGCTGGGGTAGTGCGGCTGGTAAAAAGTACCACCAGCCTTTCCGACTGAGGGGGTGGGGGAGGGGGGAGGGAAGGCGCTTTTTCAACAGCGTAAATGCCTATGGGAAGAGATTGGGGGTACAAAATTATAGTGGAATGGATCGCTACACCTCTGTTTCCGTGTGAACACTAACTTGAGTAGTTTCTTTTAATGAGTCGAAATTACATATTAAGCTTTTTTCCCTGTGATTTCCGATTTACACTAATTCCGATTTCTCAAAACCCATTAGAATTTGTTTATATTCTGTATTAAAGGATTTCTCTACACACAAACCCAGACGTCACACCATCTGCCCCCCTCATCACACACACCGTCACAAAATTACGGACCCCCCTCCCTTATGAGCGTGACGTCATTTGTGACTTTTTTCTGTGACTTTTTTCCGATAAAATTTTTCCTTTGTGACTTTTTTTGCCGTTCACCAGTTCCTGTTGGGTCGAATCATACTGTTAAGTGCTATGTTGCCACTAGTACTAGGCTAACAAAATAGTATCAGGCTAGTATCGATACTGTCCGTTTTTCTCATACAGGAAGTATGCATCCGCGTTAATCTCGCTATAGACGAGATCTCTTTGCTTTGTTGCCACTAGTGACAAAACATAAATAAACAAAATGCATTGTTCGTGAAATAATAGAAATTAATGGAACGGGATTAAAAGATAATAGTATGTATTTTTAAAATTACAAGACAACATATATTATACTATGGTAAAACTCCATTTTAGCGTATTTTATTTGCCGCTTCACGTTAACCTCCGGTTGAGCGTATTTTTAATTTTATTATCAATATATTATTTTATAAACACAAACCCAAACACACAAAAACATTTAGAAAACATACTAGGCCTAGGATCAGATCTAGATCAATATTCTAGATCTACTTTTTAAAAATTAATGTGTGTTTTAATTAGAAAAGGTAAAAAAAAACGTAAATATTAAATAAGCATTATGACGTGTGATCGTCAGCGTTATTGTCAGCGGGAGAAAAATCCCTACATACTACATACATGGTCGAGGGCAGGGGCGGAACTACCATACCGCCAGACCCCGCAATGCGGGGGGGCCCAGGACGTTTAGGGGCCCAGTTCCGACCAAAAAACATTGAATTTTTTTTTCAAAAATTATGTTTTTCATGCATCTTGAAAGTGGTTTTGTAAAAAAAAAAAAACAACAACAGGTCTACTATAGCAGAGATTGCTGCGTAGAAAAATATTTTAAAATCTACAAGAGCTATAGTTTGAAAGGAAGGTAAACATTCACACTACTTCCATGACTTACTGCCCTTCTTTAAAATAGGGATGCCCACGAAGCTCATTTAAATAGTTTTGTACTATGTATATTAAAAACAATTGATTCTCTGAATTGTTACTTAAATAAGACGTACTATACAATAGTATAGATATAAAAATCAATGTTTTCAAAATTGATATTATAAAAGCCAAAAATGAAAAAAATAAACATAACGCGAGAAACCATTCACGAATCAAGCTAACGTCTTTATATATTTTTGACCAGCATGTTCATGATATCTTAGTAACACAAGATGAGTTTGGACTAAATTTTTTCTGGTTTGTTCTCTCAGAATGGTTTGTTAGGTCAATGAAGTAGACTAAATTACTCAGTTAGGATATATATATATAAATATATACATACATACATATATATATATATATATATATATATATATATATATATATATATATATATATATATATATATATATATATATATTAATATATATATATATATATATATATATATATATATAGGGGGCCCTAATTTTTTCTTTGCGGGGGAGCCTTTTTTTTCTAGTTCCGCCACTGGTCGAGGGTTCAGTGACTGTGCGTGAGTTCACATTGACACATTGACTTTAATTATCAGCGTACATCATAACTTGGGCGATTGCTATTTGGAATTGTGTTGACCTCAGTTTTGGGGTCATTATGAGTTCATAAAAAATTATTTAGGCCTATATTTTCATGCCTGGGAGATACTTGTAAAAATACAAACTTAACTCACTGCCTTGAAATTGTGAGTTTTGTACTTCGCCCATTGCTTGAAAATCTTAACTGACACACCGGCAAAGCACATTCAATACTCCAAATTTGGATTTTTTTCAAGTTTTGACAAAAGTAAATTAATTATCAAAAACTAAAACAAAAAGTCATAAAGAAATAAGCCTAATGTTTTCCTAACATTTTTGTGTATTTCAGTTGTGTTTATAATTAAATATGCTCAACTGGAGGTGAACATACATGTAGCTGGGAATAAAATAAGCTAAAAGGGAGTTTTATCATAATATAATATTATTTACAGATGCTGCATTTACTGTTAGGCTATTAGATCTAGGTCAACAATCTAACTCATGTGTAAAATGACTATTCAGTAGTCACTATACCCTGTGTTTAATGTAGGCCTAATTACCATTTATAATTTGTAACCTAATAAAATAATAATAAATAAAATACATAACATAGAATCTAGATCTAATAACAAATTTACTAATTAATTTGTATGCATGATTTTTACTTTTAATGTTTATTAAGCCGCTATGGCTGTAGTAAGAAGTAAGTATAGTATAGGCCTATTATTATATTTAATAATTTATGATTAATATTGCTTCCATTAAATGATTTATGCAGGCCTAATTAAAATTATATTAAAAAAAAACATTTATAAAAGTAAAGTTAAAAGTTTTTACTGTAGGCAACCTAGAGTTAATAATATATTTAAAATCTATTTAAGTATAGAGTATAAGTATTAGGTAGGTAATATGTAAGTATGTCTCTCTAGTGCTATTTAATTAGGCCCTTTTTATTTTTACTTTTAATACCAACCTTTTTTTATTTTAACAGAATAAAAACAAAAAATATTAGAACAAGCCTCAGTTTTTTTCTGGTGGAATATAGATTGTCATCATGTCTTTTTTTGGACTCACACACCTTGGATATCAAAATGTTGTCAAAGAAGCATCAGTAAAATCACAGCAGGATCCAATTAGATCTAAAACACAGTTAGGATATTTAGCTCTCCCTCCACTGAAAGATCACATGCCAATGCAAAAGTCCATTATTCCTATCAATGATGTTTCACAGTATGGAAAAGGCCCTGATAGATCATACAATGAATATGTTAGATTACGAGCCAAGCATGTAAGAAATCCACTTTGTAAGTACTGAAATAAAATTTTTGTAGTTGTGTTTAGGAAATTTATCGTATCAAAAAATGAAGTTACCCTTTGGAACCTGGTAGTCCTTGTGGCAGATGAAGTAGAGTTCACCTATTTCTATGATCTCAGCATAATGGATAGTGGGGTCAGCACTTTTCCTAACATGACCCCATAAGAGCTGGGTGGACTAAGGGACATCCTTTATTCTCTACCCTGGGATCTTATTGTAGTCATCACTTTGCCCAGCAGCCTTTGCTCTCCCTAACATGAGTTAGGGACCCATCAGAGCAAGGTGGACTCTGGAACGTTATACTGACTTGGACTCTGATTCAAACTCGAGACTTTTGGGTTTACAGCCTAGCGCTCTACCATGTTTTCATTTAGTAAATAATAATAGTAAATGATCTACTGTTAGTCACCTAACACTTTTTTTTTTAAAAAAGTGTCCTAAAATGATTTTTACATTACAGCACCACATGATATTTATCTGCGTCCAGCAACCACGGCCCATGATATAGGATGGTGGACAAAAGATGAACCTTTAAGGCAAAACCACCCCTGGACCTATGTACCTAGACGGGTGACAATACATAGTGAGATGAGCAGGTAAAATATTTAAAGCCGTGTTGGAGGTATTTTTATACTTATTAATATGGCTCCATTTTGGCCTGGAAGACAGTGGATGCATCTTCAGAAGTGAAATTCTATGGGTGTACCCTGGCATTAAATAAAGAGATCATAGGTTGCCCATTCATCATGACCCTCTCTTCACCTATGCAGGTGTAATTCTATCACCCTTAGGGGGTTCCACTCCTGTTTGATTTAAGAGCTTTCTCTCCTAGATGAGTTGCTGTCCCCAGCTAATGAACCTCATCTGCCCAGGGGTTCAAAGCTCGGGAATTTTGGGTTAGGAACCATTTGCTTTCTCACCCAACCAGGCAATCATCACCTTATATGTAATAAGACTGGATAAAGCATACCTATCTTTTTTAAACTTCTAAACTAATGAGTACCACAAACACAAATTTGTTCTCTCAGTACCTTAATAAGTGTGGAGGAAGGGGTGGACAGACCTAATAATGCCTTTAGAGCCCACGGTGGAAATTTTTTTTCTTTGTAGCAAAAATTCTTTGTAACCTCTTACAAGAATTTATAACTAAGTTTAAAATAAGATGATTAGGAGGGTTGGTTTGGTAGTTTAAAAACTGTTTCTAGAAAAACAAACTGCTTTTAAAAGATCAACCTATTATCCTTTTTCAGATTTGTGGATGAAATGAAATTGACCAATAGGCAGTTTACTTTGTTCTAGACTACATATCCTTCAAGACATCAAATAAAGCTTATAAGGAGACTAAGCTGGGTTTTTTTTTTTTACTTATCATGTCTCTTGCATTGCCAAAAATTCTAAAATCTTCACTATTGTAATTTTTACATAACTTACATTTTCAATGGATCTTTTTGTTTGTAGGTTTAATTTTTGAAAACAATTGAATATTCAGCATTAAATATTGGAAAGAGCTGCCTAATAATTAAACCTAGGAAAAAGCACATGGTGATATGCTTGCAGCAGTTATCTTTTCTTGGATAGAATCTAGTCTCCCACTATTAAGTTCTGCTATTATGGTTTCTTCATTTTCACTCACCCATCCAAAGTTGTGATTTACATTTGTACATAAACTTTTGGCTTTGTGTGCGTGATTCATTTGTATATTTTGAAAATATGTGTGCTTCTTAATAAGTCAATTTTTCTTCATGCATTTATTGTTTGATACTCAGTATACTGTGATATTATAATTAACAATGAATCCTGGCTAATAAATAATTACAGAATTTAAAGTCACTCAGAATTAGAAATATTTTTTTCTTCTTTTAGAACACTTGCTCATTTTATTAAGCTGTTTTTTTTTTGTTAAGACTTTCCTTTTACATAATTATGTTTGTAAAACATGTATTTTTGTCTAACACTAACAAAAAAATTGTATATGCTTACTTGTAGAAAAAAATCAAGTTAACATAAACAGTTTAGCTGGTAAATTAACAAGAGAAATGTCTATATACCACCTGTGTTAAACCTTATAGCCAATGCTCAGGGCAAACTATGCTTGTATATGTTGTGTGTTGACTAACATAATAAAACAGTTTTCACATAATCAGTTTAGAAAATGTTTATTTTTCCATCAACATCATAAAACAGATGAGATTGTCTCAATGATTATTAACATCATGTACACAACAGTAAAGTGGCTTATAAAGTCACTGACAGACAAAATATTTGTACACAAACAACTCAGAAACCAAACTTTGCAAGACCCACTGTCTATCATACAACACTTTGTGAGGCCCACTGTCTATCATACAACACTTTGTGAGAACCACTGTCTATCATACAACACTTTGTGAGGCCCACTGTCTATCATACAACACTTTGTGAGACCCACTGTCTATCATACAACACTTTGTGAGGCCCACTGTCTATCATACAACACTTTGTGAGGCCCACTGTCTATCATACAACACTTTGTGAGGCCCACTGTCTATCATACAACACTTTGTTAGATCCACTGTCTATCATACAACACTTTTTGAGGCCCACTGTCTATCATACAACACTTTGTGAGACCCACTGTCATACAACACTTTGTGAGACCCACTGTCTATCATACAACACTTTGTGAGGCCCACTGTCTATCATACAACACTTTGTGTGGCCCACTGTCTATCATACAACACTTTGTGAGACCTACTGTCTATCATACAACACTTTGTGTGGCCCACTGTCTATCATACAACACTTTGTGAGACCCACTGTCATACAACACTTTGTGAGACCCACTGTCTATCATACAACACTTTGTGAGGCCCACTGTCTATCATACAACACTTTGTGTGGCCCACTGTCTATCATACAACACTTTGTGAGACCTACTGTCTATCATACAACACTTTGTGAGGCCCACTGTTTAATTTCTGTTGGACAACCTGGATACTTCTGTAGTGCATCAAGAATCTGACAATACAAAATATGTGTGTGAGGACATGACATATTTAACACTTTAAACTTTTACAGGCTGGGCATAAAGCAATTCTACTTCTTTAAGGCTAGTCTAAAAAGAGGACTTATACTAATAACAACAAAAGTTAAAAGCCTGTTTTAAGAGCAAATGCATTTTAATTTGATTTTAATTTCACTATTATATTGCTAGTAATTTTAAAAAGTCTTATAAACTTTTAACAACGTAAACAAAAATTATTATTTCTAGTTCTGCATCAAAATCTCGTAGATAAGCGTAATAAACATAATTCAGGCAAATACAGATGAGTCAGACTGTACCACAAAAATAAAATCTCTTCTGTAAAATAAAAAATACTTTGGAAATATGTCAATAAAAACCCACCTGAGAAGGATGAACCAATAGGTTCATCAGTTTATATTCCTTTAAAATCTGAAATCCTCCAGTATTTGCACCACCAGAGTGTGGCCGAATAAATTCCAACACTTGCAAATGTTCAAATGCCTGAAGCATAAAAACAATTCATATAAAAAATTTCTCTTAGAAAAATCCCAACTGAAAAAAAGGCTTTAATTTATGATTAGTTAAAAAAAAAAATCACCTAAGGTTTATTGAAATTAGTTGAGAAAAGGTATTTTATAATTGAGTAGAATGCAAAAAAATGATGATTGAACAAAAAAAATGTTTCCTTAGCTAAAGATTCATGAAGAAAGGGCATTGGCCAGTCTGCTAAAAAACAAATTTATGCAATAAAAATATTAAAGGGGAGTAAAGATTACCTTCATGACAACAGCTTTTTCATAAACTTGCATACCTGTTTTGCGTCGGGCAAACTTGAGGTATTCTAAAAAAAAAAAAAGGCAAAATTGTTGTTACTGAATAGCTAAAATTTTTATTGGATTATTACTAGCCATTAGTAGCATTTTTGTGGTCTAAAAATTGTTTCAATCATTAATGTATTACATAACTAACCACTGTAAACCATCTCAAAGTTGAATGGTTCCCCTTCATAAATCTCTGTTAGATGCTTCATAGCAATGATCAAGCATAGTTCAAGTGTAGAAATTCCTGGAAAATAAACAAAAAATTGTTTCACAAAAAAAAAATCACTTTACAAAATTTTTTTTATAGTAAATAAATTTGTGCTTAATGGCAGCAATAATGAGTGCAAAACAATGGTAGAGAGATACACCAATACATTCTTGTATTAAATTAATGTAATTAAAGGCAGCATTTGCAGCCACAGTGATCCAAAGGGCAAATGAAGTTTCTATGACTTCTGTAATGGCAGGCCAATGTGTGGTCAGCAATTACTTCACTTTTCCAGTTTTATAACCAGGTACCCATCATATTTTGTATGGTAGGTCTTATGTGGTCAGTAGTTACTTTACTTTTCCAGTTTTATAACCAGGTACCCATTACAGTTTGTATGGCAGGCCTTATGTGGTCAGCAGTTACTTTACTTTCCCAGATTTTAAAACCACATACCAGTTATTGTATTGGTAAGCATAAGGCTGTTATGTGGGCACGAGTCTAAGGAACAAACTCAAGCTTACAGTAACCATAAGATATACCACAATATACCATAATATATACAACAATCTAAACACTGTATTGAATTAACTTTAAGTTTTTATTATATTTCAAATCTGCAGCCATAGCTGAATGTACTGATGACAAAATGTGTTTAAATCTTCTTCTTCATTGTTCTTAATTTTTAGTGTTGGGAGGGATCGAGCCTTATCTGCCAGAGGGTTTGACTTTTTTTTTCGAATTTATCAACCATGACCTTTGCAGACTCGACCATGCTTCCATCACAATTTAGGTTTATGTGTCAACTGGTTATGCGCCATTGAGGCCATTGACTCCGATTTCAGCCTGCTTTTCTTTTTGGATTTGCTTCCATAGCCTTTGTCCAACCAAGAACAAACTACAAGGCAGCAGTTGTTTGATTTTGGAGTTGTCTCTCCTAGAAGAGTGGCTGTCCCCAGCTAACGAGCCTCATCTGCCCGAGGGTTTAAATAATTTTGACACCATTATGGTATTTTCATATAGCAAGTTTAAAAATAATTTCCATTCCATGTCTAGTTTCTAGTAAAAAAAAAAGAATGGGTTGCCTACCATGTAACATGGCAGATTTCGTGTCATTTGAGATCATCTTGAAGGAAGTAACAAAGTCACCTGCTGTGATGTTGGGGTGGGTGGGGCACACCTGGCAGATAGGGTAGGTCTGGGGATAAAAATAAAAACTTCACACGCAATTCAAACAAACACAGTGTTTAGGGGTTGAAATGTGGGGAAAGTAAAGAGAAAATAATTTTTTCACTACCAGTAACATTATCTAAGTAAAATAAAGCAAAATTAAAAAAAAATTCTACCAGTAACATTATCAGGCTCCGAACATCGTTTGATAAAGAAAACTGCCGTTGTAGGATATCTTTCACTGACACTTCGTCTAAAACAGTCTTTAAAAAACACAAAATAGTAAGAAACACAGAATTTATAATAAGAAACAAACTAACTTTTAAATTAAAAGATGTTTTCATGCTAATGATAGTTATATTTTAATAGTATTGAAAAAAAAAAAAATTATCCAAAATGTTTTCTTGTTAGGTCAATACAAAGTATCTACTTACGTTTATGTTTGTAGTCAAATTTTGGTCAATACAAAAAGTTTTTATTTATGTTTATGATTGTGTACAAATGTTTTGTCAATACAAAGTATCTACTTACGTTTATGTTTGTAGTCAAATTTAGGTCAATTATTTTTTATTTGTGTTTATGATTGTGTACCAATGTTTTGTCAATACAACATATCTCCTTACATTTATGTTTGTGTTCCAAGCCTCCATCAGCTCTGTAGAAGGGAAGTCAGCAGGTAAGTAAAGATAGGACTTGCACAACTCCCTGTACTCATGTAGGGTCAACTTGTTGAACAGGTGCAGCTGTCTGTGAGAAAACCTCGACTTGACCCTTTTCTCCAGTAGTTCTATTACATCCTAATTGATGGGTTCAGGTGGGAATGAAAGTAAAGGTAAACAAAAGAAGGTGAAAATAAAATAAAACTAGGTGTACATTGAAAATACAACATGAGCAGTGTATTGATTCATTCAGTAATGACTTGATTTTATAACAAGCATGGAGCCTAATAAATCACAGTCAAGGTAAACAACAAGAAACATATTCAGTGAAGAAATAACCAAACAGTCAATAGGATGAAACATGGCTCAACAGTCAATAGGATGAAACATGGCTCAACAGTCAATAGGATGAAACATGGCTCAACAGTCAATAGGATGAAACATGACTCAACAGTCAATAGGATGAAACATGGCTCAACAGGATGAAACATGGCTCAACAGGATGAAACATGGCTCAACAGGATGAAACATGGCTCAACAGTCAAAAGGATGAAATATGGCTTAATAGTCAATAGGATGAAATATGGCTCAATAGTCAATAGGATGAAATATGGCTCAATAGTCAATAAGATGAAACATGGCTCAATAGTCAACAGGATGAAACATTGCTCAACAGTCAATAGGATGAAACATGGCTCAACAGTCAATAGGATGAAACATGGCTCAACATAGGATGAAACATGGCTCAACAGTCAATAGGATGAAATATGGCTCAATAGTCAATAGGATGAAACATGGCTCAATAGTCAATAGGATGAAACATGGCTCAACAGTCAATAGGATGAAACATGGCTCAAGAGTCAATAGGATGAAACATGGCTCAAATAGTTAATAGAATGAAACATGACTCAACAGTAGGCACTCACCAACCTACAAGTTACTCCAATGACACAAATGGGGGCCTGTGCTGACTGAGCTACATCAAACAGGTTGTAGAGTAGTGTCTGGTTTTTGTGTTGGGCAAATAGGTCAAACTCCTCCAGGACAAAGAGAATGGGTTTACTGTCTTGATCACCTGTAAAATATTGTATTCAAAGTCTTTGTCATACTTCACCTGATACTGATTTAAGTAATTTCTAATAGAATTATTAACATGCATTTTTATAGTATTTAAAATAAACACAGAAATGGATCTTTTTGTTTTAAATGTAAATAAAGGAAAATGAAATTTAAAACAAATACATAATCAAAATATGTTTTGAATTAAAGAATTAAAAATATTTAAATTAATACTAAAAAAGCTTTATGACCACATGTAAATTTTCATTAAAAATGTTTAAATCTGTACCTTTTTTCAGGGCTTGCAAAAGAAATTGTAACGTTTCAGCAAAGGAACCCTTAAAAACATTCCAGTAATAAAGGGTAAATTAGTATAAACATGGGTGCATAAATAGAATCATGAACAAAGGGAGACAATTAAAATATATAAGAAAAACTCATTATATAAAAACTTATATAAAACATATTAAACTTATATAAAAAAAATCATTACACAAAAGTTTTTAAGCATAACAATGGAGAAATTAGATTCATTATAGAAAACCATGCAGAAAAATTATTTGTTGTTGTTGTTGAACCAACTTCTTTTAGTGTATATCAATTTTTTTTACAAATGTATTAGTATAGCATCTGGTTGAAATTTGTATATTTAGATAGAATACTAAGGAATGTCCGACAGAATGAAGCTAATTACTAAAGGTACTCACAAAGACTTTATCGCCAACAGAATTCTCTAGCTGAAGTTGGCGAGTGATTTCTCTCAGAGCTATTCGGTCATCTGTTTGTAAGAGGCCTAAAGAAAAAAATTCATTATCATGAAAGGTTTTTTTAAAGATTTGAAACAGATTTAAATGTTAAAAAACGAGTAAAAGAAATGTGAGATTAAAATTTATTTAGAAACTACCATTCAATTTGACTTGCAACATATTTTCTTTAATTCCCTTGTCCTGGCACAAATCAGATACAACATTGTTAATTAGCTGAAATAAAAAAATCAGAAACTACATTGTCAATTAATTACAAGTGCGAAATAAAATTAAAACTATTATTTTTAAATTATAAAGATTATTTATTATTACATAGTAAATATATTTTTTTATAATTATATTTAGTAACATGTAGGTCCAACTGTAAGAAAAATGAAATAGAATTAGCATGTATTTAGAGCCTTTTAGGTCGGCGTGGTCGAGTCGGTAAAGCTCATGGTTGCTAAACCGAAAAGACTCGAGTTCGAACCCTTGGGCAGATGAGGCTCGTTAGCTGGGGACAGCCACTCTTCTAGGAGAGACAACTCCAAAATTAAACAACTGCTGCCTTGTAGTTTGTTCTTGGTTGGACAAAGGCTATGGAAGCAAATCCAAAAAGAAAAGCAGGCTGAAATCGGAGTCAATGGCCTCAATGGCGCATAACCAGTTGACACGTAACGCTTAATTGTGTTGGAGGTGTGGTCGAGTCGGCAAAAGCTCATGGTTGATAAATTTGAACAAAGTCTCGAGTTCAAACCCACTGGCAGATAAATCTCGATCCCCTTCAACACTAATAATTAAGAACGAAGAAGAAGAAGAGCTTTTTAAAACATCGTTACATGTATAATTAACATTCATATTTAACATATTCTAATGATATTTATTCACCAGAAATAAATAAATGTGCACATTAAGCTACATTTTAAAAACATGAAAACCACACACCATAGATTTACCACAACTTCTTGGCCCAATAAGTAGCAATGAATTACTTTCACCAGTTGTTGCTGTTCTCTTTATTAGATCGTACAGCTGTCTAAAATAAGATTTAAAGATTACCCTTTGGTTGTATTTGATACAAAATTTAGTTAATAAATAGAGAACAATTAAAAGATGATTTTACACCAGTGAAGTTTTGTAACATTCAGCAACATTCACTTAACATTTGTTAACAGGTCTATATTTATGATTTCTGGATCTTTTCACTTGTTAAATTTAAATAACTTGCACTTTGTAGGTGAGAGCTGCAAGCACTAATTAAACCATTGGACAGACAAGTAACAATTACAAATCTCTAAAAATGAGTTACTGATATCTTCAATAAACTGTAAATATTTTGGCCTACTTAATAGACAGTAGTGGTTCAGACAAGTTTGTAAGCTGAATATAGATATTTGATAGAATAAACATATAAAACTGAGTTAAAACTCGTTTACAATAAATCTTACTTCCGTTCCCTTGAGTATCCTTTAATTTCTGGAGGTTGGTTTATCTGTGATATTCGTCTTCTCAGTATTTGCTGAATTAGTTCCAAGTTATCGCAGCTTGAAATCTGGTCTTTAGAAAACACATTTCTTCTGACAGATTTCTTGGGGGATAAAACTTTTCTAGGAGAAGATACTGATACATCTAGTTTTCGTTTGTATGGAGAAGTATTAGGAGAGGATGATGTCCCCTTTATTGTTTCTTTAATACTTTTGCTGGGGGAATTTAGTGTATCACTAGGACTCCGCAGTGAATAAGATGAAGCTCTAGAAGAGTGACCAGCTGCCAGTTTGGATGGTGTTAAATTAGATTTATTAGGACTTGAAAAACTGTTTGCAGATTTCACTGGAGACAACAACTTTCCTTTACAATCAGATGCTGTATGCTTTACCATTTTGAAGTACGATGTCTGGAGGATTAAATATTTAAAAATAAGTTAGCTAGTAAAACTTTTCAAATGTATAGGCCTATACTATAATTACTGTTTTATATTTAAGTTTGGAGGAAACCAATTAATATAGTAAAGAAGATGCTAGTTTTAAAAATACTGCAGAAAATATAACTTTGTTAATTTTCAAATGAAATAAGCTAAATAATACTTTTAGGCCAACATCTAACTTTTGATGAATACAATGCATCTAGTGTCAGAACAAATTCTAATAACTAATACTAATAACAATAAACACAAAACTATATATAGCTCATACTTGATCTAATTAATTAACTTAGAAGACCTAATGTGAAATAAATAGTTATTAAACAGTATTGCAGTGGAACACAGAAGTTTAAATTACTTGATTAGGAATGAATTATGAATTGTGTCACACTCCTTTACTAGCAGTAAAGAGACATTAGTGGCAAATGAATGTGTGAATTAATTATTACATACAGGCCTAATAATTTTATAAGCCTAGAACCAGCCTACTAATTTTTTAATGATGATACATTACATGTCAATACATGTCATTGTCATGTAGTGTAGACTATAATGATATGAAGTATATGTGAGACATGTATGAGTTGATTTTATTATTTATGTCTATCATTACAATTTACGGGAGAATGTTTATACCGGTGTCCGATAATGGAATCTTCTTTAAAAAAGGAGTGTTAGGTTACTGGTAGTAAACTAAATACACATATGGCTGGCTAATGTCAATGCCAACCCTGTCCCTAGTCCTACCATATGCCTAACCCTAATTTCTAACCATAAAATTAGTCGAGATTACAATACTACTAACAACCCAACACCCCTTTTTTTAAAGAAGATTATATTATCAGACACCTGTATACTGTATCTAGATTCTATACTATAGGCCCCTAATCATCCCAATTTACTTTTACATAATGATGAATTTATGATGACATGTTAGTTGTTACTATTTGTATTTTATAACTTTATAATAAGGCATGAAGCCTCTGTCTAAAACTCTAATGAATGACTCTACTAATGATAAATATTAAATACTGATTAATTATTTAATTAATGAATGAGTCAAAGACTTTAGTTAGTAACATAATTTTTAATTTAAACTTCAAACTGAATTTTTTAGTATTTTCAGATCTAGGGACTAGAATCTGGTAAAAACTAATTAATAGCCTATAGTATAGAAATAACCATTGATATGTTTAAAATATAATAAAGTATGTCTGTAGGCCTACAATATTTTAGTATTAGAGATAGATATAGATCTATAATCTAAATCTCAATTCAACAACAGGCCTCTAAGACAGGCTAAGAGACTAACGGAATGAGTAAATATATTGATGTTGATTCAACATAACAAAATTAGCGCGAGTGCTTGCCAGATTTATTTTGCAAGGATCATTTGTAAACCAAAACAAAATAGAATATTTAGAAGGTTTTTCGACGTTTATGTTAACCATTGTCCGATAATGCCACAAAAATGGAATATCATTAAAATGTTAGTGTTTGGTTAATTGTAGTAAAATAAATACTAGATCTAATATATAAACTGTAATAGTGACGTTAATCCAATGTCTAAACATTCTCCAAAAAATATAGTAACTAGTTTTATAAAATATAAATGTTTACTGAATAAAATGGCGATACAAAACTTTGGTGAAAATCTTTGACCCGGAAGCTAATACTAATGTAACTAATCAAAATAAACTAGATTCATAAAATAAATGAAAATATATAAATAAGTCTAGAATCTAGATCTAGATTCTAGAATCTAGATATCTAGGTCTCAATAGTTTTAAATTTTAATAGTGGCTTAAATTAGGTCTACCTAAATAAATAAGCTAGGTTTGCTAGACTAAATTAAATTTCACTTGACCGGATATTGATATTCAGATATCTTGATCAGGTAAACTTGAGTTGTAAACTTTGTAAACCTACCTAAAATATTAAAAATAAGTACCTAACAAGTTAACAACTACCTATCTTAAAAGATTATAAGTTTAAGTAGTACTAGATCTAGTCCTACTCGTCTACTACTACTACTATGTAGTATTACGAGTAATCTATCGTTTTAGGTACGTAAAATCGCCCGCGACTAGTAATGTGAAAAACAGGTGACTCCTTAAACTTTAATAGGCCTAACTATTTCACATTTTGAGGAGGATTTATAATTTATGTTTTGAAAAATACAAAAATGTTTCCGTTTCATTTAGTAGGGTTGTCGGTATCGGCCGAGATTGCGGTAAAAACATGACCCGAAATCACCCATTACTTTCTGATACCGGGCGCACTAGATTTGGTTTTGCATACTAATAAGTTTTTAATTTATGGTAATTAATTAAGTTTAAAAGGTCATTTCCTAATGTTAAATGAAAAGTAGAATGGTTTTCCCATTGTTTTGATAGCTTAGCGATCTGATTGCACGCTGTCTCTGCTTTGGTCTTCCCCCTGTATGAAGGCTAGTTTCAAATACGTTGGAATCACGATTTTTTAAAAGGTTATTCTAGATGAGAGAAGATTACTGAGCAGACATATCTTATGTATGTGGAAATGATATTTGTTTTTGGATATTTTGACTCGGACATTAAATATACTCGTTTAGAGGTAGTCACTGTATGTATGTAGGTCGTGTTGCCACCATTGTTATATTTTTTCATCCCGATCTTCCGGCCTTTAAGTTTGATCAACTAACAACAGCATTCTTATGGAATATGCAAACAAATTTCCTAATTGTTGTTTTCAAAATATATTTACATACACATCTTAAATTTTTCAGCTCTAGTTCTAGTTTTGCAGAATATGTTTTTCCTAAAATCCAATTTTGTCAGACTAGACTGACAAGAGTCAGACCTAGATCTAGGTTACCTGTCTGTTGCTATACACTAGCATTGTGCTAACTGTAATTTTAAGTATTCAAGTTCTACTAACCCTTCTATATAGTTATATGCTGAAAATCAGAATCCATACACAATTCACACATAAAAACATTGATCTGATAACTTCATTTCACTTATTACAAAATGGCTTATATGGACTCTACTTCACCTGCCCAAAAAAATAAGGCAGTTATAGACACATTACAGTGTTCAAGTCATTTACTTTAGATTTCTGATCATGGAGTTCCTTCATTCACTGTATTTATATAAAATATTGCTTTAGAAACATTTTCATATTTGCGCAGCAGTTTTATAAGAAAATGGCTTAAAGATTGACTCTACTTCACCTGCCCAAAATAATGAGGCAATTATATGCACATGACAGTGTTCAAGTCATTTACTTTAGATTTCTAACTTTGTAGTTCTTTCATTTGCTGTATTTATATAAAATATGGCTTTAGAAACATTTTCATATTTGCGCAGCACACAGTTTTTTGGGGTTATAGGAGGAAGCCAACACAAAAATATAACTTTTCTATTATTTTTATTCAACAGCATTTACAAGTTCTATATATCATTCTAGCTAAACTCTGCAAATATGAACAAAATACAACTGCAAGTAAAATAACTATGCTCAATTTATTCAGGTATACCATGACTTGTCACAATTGGCCAATGCAAAAACAAGGGGATTCCACCCCTCACAAAAAAATTCGTAAAAAAAAAACTATTTGAGCTAGACAGAAAATCTTTTTTGTTTTGTTTTCATATAGTTGAGCTCTACAAGAATATGTAATTTTTATTTTTATATGCTGATTAGTGTTTTTTTTTACCAAAATCCCTACATTTAGGTACCTATTTTTAAACAATTGATTTAAAAAGTTTTAAGTAATAAATGAAGACTGGCGATGTTTCCAACAGATAACAGCCATCTTGTTTATTTTTTTGTTATTGTAAACTTATAGCGCAAGAATCAGGGGAAGCCACTCTAACTTACAGATGGCCGCTTTTTATAAAGCAAATCCTGCTCGAAAACACTACTGTTTAAAGTTAATTTCTTGCCTATATTGATATATTTAGCCATTGATTTAGGTTTATTATTCATTTATCTATAATATTTGACACAAATATATCACTATATACTTCTATTAAAACCTTGACAATGAGATAACTTTTTCGTACATTACTAGCCGTGGGCAATTTTACGTACCTAAAACGATAGATTACCATTACTAGTTTTAGTTTAACTAGTTTTACTAGTAGTACCTAAACTACTACTAGTCTAGTTACCTAGTAGAGTACCTACCTACCTAACCTAACAATAACCGCCCTAATCAGACTAACCTCCTACCTACTTCCTTCCCCAAACCTAACCACTCGTCCAGTGTACTAGAGGGTGTATAGTTAGTATTTTTAGTATAGTGAAAGTAATCACAATTTTAATTTTAGGATTTTAAGTTTTTGGTAATTTATCGTTTAAGGTGCGTAAAATCGGCCAAGGCTAGTAATGTGCGAAACAGTTGCCTCATTGTTAAGGCTTTATTTAATAGAAGTATATTGTGATATATTTGTGTCAAATATTATAGATAACTGAATAACCAAAATCAATGGCTAAATACTAAATAAAAAGCGACCATCTGTAAGTTAGTTTTTACCAAAACAAAACTTATACAAGATGGCTGCTAAAGTAAATGAGCTTGGTTGCTGATGAAAACATCGCTTATCTATTTTTTTCTGAAAAGTTTTAATACATTTGTTTAAGAACAGGTACATAAATGAAACTTTGAAACAATTTTGTAACTTTCAAAACATAAATCCTCCTAAAATGTAAAATAATTACTAAAATTTAATGAGTCACCCTTATTTCACATTACTAGCCTCTGTAAATTTTACCTACCTAAAACGATCACTGATATTCTCGCTAAATCTAAAATTTTTTCAATTTAAACATGACCACTGAATAATAATAATAGACTGAATAATAATTAGTATTCATTTAGGATGATTTAAGATACTGATGACCGATAATAGGCTCTTCCAGAAATAGGTGTGTTAGGTTGTTAGTAGATTGTAATTTTTACTAGTTTTATGGTTAGGAGTTAGGGTTAGGACAGTTAGGTTATAAAAAATCCCCCCAAGTGTTTTTTTTGCCAAGGTAAAACATTTCTGTATCATTTGCACAAAAACATCTAGATGACTCCATGCCATGCATTATCTGATTTGATTTTGTAGCAATAGCAAAGAGCACCTTGAATATATATATATATATATATATATATATATATATATATATATATATATATATATATATATATATGTTACGGTCAAAGCCCGAAGTCGGCCAATGCTAGGATTGGCCGGCCAATCCGCGCATTGGCCAGCTCTCTTGGCCAAAGCCCGAAGAACTTAGCACTTAGATCGTATTTCGTACATTGGTCGGCCAATGCGCGCACTGGCCGGGACGTACTGGCCAAAGTCCGAAGCGCTTAAACTTGACAGCGTATTTTGTACATTGGCCGGCCAATGCGCGCACTGGCCGGGATGTCCTGGCCAATGTTCTATCTAGACTAAGTTGTGATCGCATTTTCATTATTCTGGGGGCGTTTTCATTGAGAGTAACGTATTGTTTAGCTCTTGTTTATATAGCATTCTATATGCAAGGCGACATGGATCAAAAGGGCCGTCAGACCATGAGACAGACATAGCAGATGGCTATATATATATATATATATATATATATATATATATATATATATATATATATATATATATATATATATATATATATATATCCATCCCCAAATTCTATTATTAGACTAATTTTCTTGAGTTCTTTTTCTCCTCTTCAATATATTAACAGTTGTTCAAAATAGAAAATGTTGAAACACTTCTTTAGCATCAGATTTACACTTAATGGGGACAAGGTTTGCTTTTCAGCAAGTCTATTGAAGGCTTAATGAATGGCAAACCTATCTGTAAAGTGACTAGAATTGCTTTGAATCCCAAATAATCTAAATTCTATATTGAGATTTTACACTACTTTAAATAATAATTATTATCACTTAAATTTATCAAGAAAATTATTAGTGTAAACTGGACTGATGTTGGACTATTAAGAATACATTTGTTAAATTTAGGGCCTAATCTGTAATTAAAATGAATAAATCTGTATGAAAAGAGATATTACGACTTTTAGTTACGTGGTTTTGTTCTGAAATATAAACATTTGAGATAATAAAAAAGATCTGGTGAAGAAGTACAGTCATCAATTGGGGCTTGGGGGATTAATAATTATTATTTTAGTTTCTGGAATTAAACACTTCATAGAAAATGCTTGAAGCTAGTTAATTAATTAATTAATTAATTACTCCAGACTGTAAGCAACAGCTGGAGGAAAGGCTGCAACTTATTAATAATTAGAGAACTCCTGTAGAAAAAATTATGTTTTAAAAAGTTCTATAAAATAGTCATAGTAAGTGTTCAGTGTTACATTAAATGACATCATCAGATCTCCTATGAAGATGTTAATAGCCCTGAGCAGTGTGTCAGAGTGATGGATTATCTTAAGTTACTTTGGCACTTGGAGCTATAGTTTAACATGGTCATTTGTAATGTTTTGTTTACAAGTTTTGACCCATAAACAACCTCAGGGCTGACCTTTACCCTCCATACTGAATCATTTAAAACAAAAATTTGCTTTAATTTGTAATGATAAGAGTTTTATTCCTTGATTTAATTAATTATTGTTACTATATAATGATTAGGTTTAATTTATTATGTAGTTCACTAAGTAGCAAACTTTTAACATCAGTTAAATAATGGATTAGATTAGATGTATTCTTACAATAAAAACTTTTTGTATTCTAGCTTATATTGCTATTAAATTATTTCTTTTTTTAAGTGTTAAAATTTGATGCTGTAAAATATCTTTTAAACAAAATTCATCTAATCTAGTTTCTGACTTTTTAAATTCACTTAAAAAAGTATGGACAAAAAAAAAAATCACTAAAAAGCTTTTGGACTTAAAACAAACACTCACTTTATTACTGATTTTTGCCATTAATAAATGTTTTGTTTTCAGTGATGTTGCAATATGGTGATGTTGAGGAAGTGTAGATAAATTCTGGCCCCCCTCCCCATTGTGTAGCTGTTTGTCGCCAGCTAAGAGTGGCAAGCATGGACCAAGAAGTGGAGGAGGTCTCCTTCCTGCCAGGTTGGTGCACTGGATGTAGTCTTTGTTAGGTGTTTATGTTAACCTTCCCAGTTGATGCATTATTTGTAAGATGGTTTTATTTGTCTTTACATTTGGTGTAGTATTTGATTAGGTTTTATGGTTGCACCAGTATTTTTAGGTTTTTCTGTTAACCTTCCCATTATTTGTAAGATGTTTTTATTAGGCTCTACAGCTGGTGCATTATTTGTAAGATGTTTTTATTAGGTTTTATGGTTGCAGCAGTATTTGTAGGTTTTTCTGTTAACCTTCCCTGTTAATGCATTATTTGTAAGATGTTTTTATTAGGCTCTGCATTTGGTGCCATATTTGTAAGACGTGGAGATGGGAGTGGTTGTGTAAGATGTGGAGATGGGAGTGGTTGTGGAGATGGGAGTGGATGTGGAGCTGGGAGTGGTTGTGTAAGATGTGGAGATGGGAGTGGTTGTGTAAGATGTGGAGATGGGAGTGGTTGTGTAAGATGTGGAGCTGGGAGTGGTTGTGTAAGATGTGGAGATGGGAGTGGTTGTGTAAGATGTGGAGATGGGAGTGGTTGTGTAAGATGTGGAGATGGGAGTGGTTGTGTAAGATGTGGAGCTGGGAGTGGTTGTGTAAGATGTGGAGATGGGAGTGGTTGTGTAAGATGTGGAGATGGGAGTGGTTGTGTAAGATGTGGAGCTGGGAGTGGTTGTGTAAGATGTGGAGATGGGAGTGGTTGTGTAAGATGTGGAGATGGGAGTGGTTGTGTAAGATGTGGAGATGGGAGTGGTTGTGTAAGATGTGGAGATGGGAGTGGTTGTGTAAGATGTGCTGCCTTGTAGTTTGTTCTTGGTTGGACAAAGGCTATGGAAGCAAATCCAAAAAGAAAAGCAGGCTGAAATCGGAGTCAATGGCCTCAATGGCGCATAACCAGTTGACACGTATCCTTAATTGTGATGGAGGCGTGGTCGAGTCGTCAAAAGTTCATGGTTGATAAATTTGAAAAATTCGAGTTCAAACCCTCTGGCAGATAAAGCTCGATCCCTTCCAACACTAAAAATTAAGAACGAAGAAGAAGATCCATGCAGTAGCCCAGAAGAAAGTTGTGTTTAATCATGTTCCTCAAATGTTTGATGATGAGGGTGAGCAGGTTTGTGGGGTATTTGAACTAAATTAGCTTCTTGAGAAAATAACTTTGTTGTGTTTATTGGTGTTCACTCTTGTTTCTTTAAGAAGATTTCGCTTTAAATTTTATCAATAGTTCAGACTGTACTGATGCTATTTAATGACTTCTCACCCTTAAATACACAACTTTTGGTATGTATTTCAGGGGTGAGGTTTATAAGTTCTATAGTGTCAACATTGTAGGATTTAGTATAGAAAATAGCTGCTGTCTGTCTTAGCTACTATCAAGCCATTAATATTTATTTTCAAGCTTGAGGTGTCCCCGGTAAGAGTAAAGGCAACGATAATAAAGTCGTTTTTACTTTCTTGTATATAGAGTATAGAGGGAGTATTGTAATCGTGCAAAAAATCGAAATTGAGATTTTTATAAATCTCGTTGTTTTACACTTTCCTGAGTCGGAAAATCTTAGTTTTTCTATTTTGTCTGTGTGTGTGTGTGCGCGTGTATGCACGCGTGCGTGTCTGTGTCGTGTGTCTGTCTGTGTGTCTGTCTGTCCATCTGTGTGTCTGCGAACACAATAACTTGAGTACCGTTACAGTTAGGTTGATGAAATGTCTTATATTAGTATCACATAATTTCCGGCGACCGGAAGTAAATAGTTACGCTATTTCCGATTTTAAAAAAACGCACATTAATTTATAAAGTACTAATATTCCGCACTATTATACACATATTGTTTGGCGTTCATTTAATGCACGATTTCTTCTACGAGATTCTATTCTGTTTTAAAAAGTTACGTTGTTTAATAATTGATTTAAAAAATCATGTCTATATTCCGAGTTGCTATTCCTTGCAGTGTAATAAAAGATAAAAATATTAACTATTTACATTTTGCAATACAAACATGCATTGAATTTTAGTTGGTTCCAATTGCGCTAGATTGTTACCAAATCGCATCATTCAAACCTTCTATTCTGGTGTCAGGTGCTTTTTGTTTATTTATAGAATAGAAAACACTCAACTGTAAACATTACTTACGCTTATCAAAACTCGTTTTTACAAACTTGCCATAAAAACACGTCCCACGTTATGACGTATGTTGCCATAAAAACACGTCCCACGTTATGACGTGTGTATGTTGCCATAAAAACACGTCCCACGTTATGACATGTGTATGTTGCCACTAAAACACGTCCCACGTTATGACGTGTGTATGTTGCCATAAAAACACGTCCCACGTTATGACTTGTGTATGTTGCCATAAAAACACGTCCCACGTTATGACGTATGTTGCCATAAAAACACGTCCCACGTTATGACGTATGTTGCCATAAAAACACGTCCCACGTTATGACGTGTGTATGTTGCCATAAAAACACGTCCCACGTTATGACGTGTGTATGTTGCCATAAAAACACGTCCCACGTTATGACGTGTGTATGTTGCCATAAAAACACGTCCCACGTTATGACGTGTGTATGTTGCCATAAAAACACGTCCCACGTTATGACGTGTGTATGTTGCCAGAAAACACAGCCCGTACAGTGCAACTGTGAGAACAAAAAAATGGTGGGAAAAGTTTTTGATTGCCCGTGACGTGTCAGAGCTAAACAGACGTATGTGCAGCTCCCTGCATGCAGCGTCCTCCATGTAGCACATTATGCACCCCACTAGCTGCGGTAGGGAAACTGCCGAGACCGGATGTCGGCTGACTTTTCAACTACATCCAAATTACTCCGCGTTCAGTTAGAACATACAAATGGTATCATATCCTAGGCTCCATGTAGGCGGGCTGATGATGTAACTTGAACCGCGGATTTTTTGTTCTCTAAACTTTGGCGCCTGGTTGCGATATTAACCAACTTTTGAGCGTACGAGGATTATGCTTATAGGAACCGATTCTTATTTTTTTACCTGCACTGATTCATTTGAGGTCTAAGTGGCAGCTCACATTGTTCTGCAGTGATTGAATAAAAGGAGGCGGGGCTCTAGTTTGATCAGCTTTATGAAGGGAATGTGTTGACTGAGCTGTGGGATCGTGTTACAAACAAGGATTGTTTCGTTATTTTTCTCCAACTTCTGATACGATTTTTGAAGTAAATTCGCTTGGATGGTTACTAGTAAGTTGTTAAAAGTTTGTATTTTATATGTTTTAAATGCAGATTTACTTGTAATGTTGGTTATGTTTATTATATAGTTATATATTGCTTCTGTTGACGTGATCCGCTGTATATACAATTTTATATATGTCGGTTTTGTTTTACATCTGGTGCAACATTTTCTAGATTTCTATCAATTCAGAGGCGTAGCCAATAGGGGGGCGGGGGGGGGCATATGTCCCCGGGCGCCGACCTTAGGGGGGGCGCCAAATTGACAGTTTGAGGGGGGGTGCAAATGAAAAGTTCGAGAGGGAGGGTGCAAATCGAAAGTTTGGGGGGGGGGTGCAAATAAAAAGTTCGAGGGGGGTGTGCAAATCGAAAGTTTGTCCCCGGGCGCCGGGAAGGGTCGCTACGCCTCTGTATCAATTACACTGGTTTAAAATGCTGTATGGAAATTCAAATTACAATCTCGTTAAACAGCGAGGGGCAGCTAAAGGGGTTCTGGCATTTATGATATAACACAATAGCATGGCACTTATTATATAACACAATATCATGGCACTTACTATATAACTGTACAATAGCATGGCACTTATTATATAACACAATAGCAAGGCACTTACTATATAACTGTATAATAGCATGGCACTTATTGTATAACACAATAGCAAGGCACTTATTATATAACACAATAGCATGGCACTTATGATATAACACAATAGCATGGCACTTATTATATAACACAATATCATGGCACTTACTATATAACTGTACAATAGCATGGCACTTATTATATAACACAATAGCAAGGCACTTACTATATAACTGTATAATAGCATGGCACTTATTGTATAACACAATAGCAAGGCACTTATTATATAACACAATAGCATGGCACTTATTATATAACATAATAGCATGGCACTTATTATATAACACACTAGCATGGCACTTATTATATAACACAATAGCATGGCACTTATGATATAACACAATAGCATGGCACTTATTATATAACACAATATCATGGCACTTACTATATAACTGTACAATAGCATGGCACTTATTATATAACACAATAGCAAGGCACTTACTATATAACTGTATAATAGCATGGCACTTATTGTATAACACAATAGCAAGGCACTTATTATATAACACAATAGCATGGCACTTATTATATAACACAATAGCATGGCACTTATTATATAACACACTAGCATGGCACTTATTATATAACACAATAGCATGGCACTTATGATATAACACAATAGCATGGCACTTATTATATAACACAATAGCATGGCACTTATTATATAACACAATAGCATGGCATTTATGATATAACACAATAGCATGGCACTTATTATATAACACACTAGCATGGCACTTATTATATAACACAATAGCATGGCACTTATTATATAACACAATATCATGGCACTTATTATATAACTGTACTATAGCATGGCACTTATTATATAACACAATAGCATGGCACTTATTATATAACACACTAGCATGGCACTTATTATAAAACACAATAGCATGGCACTTATTATATAACACACAAATTAAACCTTCCCCGTGAGTACCTAGGCGTGTTAACACAAATCACAGCCAGTGTGTAATAATTCTGCTCTTTCCCATCCTTCCCATATTACACAACATAAAAAAACAAAACAATCCCTACTCCTTTGTATTGTATAATATTAAGTGATCCCACTGCAATGCTAATGACTTTTATATAGTGATTTATTGTTTTCGGAATTATAAAAAAAGATATCATTATTATTAAAAAAGAACATAATCTTTTGAGAAAATAAAGCGGGAGTGATCTCCCCTAAAGTTTCCAGTATATTCTTTTACAACAATAGGGGTAGGGATGGCACTTCCAGAGCAATCCAGCTATAGAAATACAGAAGCTTGTGACAAAATAGCGCGTTTTGTTTTCGAGAAAACACGGAGACGAAAAGAATTGCCACGCAAATAATGGTTGTCTATTAGAGCGGAAAGTTAGTACTTAATAAAGGAAACAAGACTTCGATTTTAAAAGTTTTCTAATTAAGTCTCTTTTTGTGTCACATTGCATTTTCACTAAGGCTTGGTCTGCGTGAAAATTTGAAAGCTTGTAATTTTCAAATTCTGAAGGCTTTTTGAGAAATCGGAGACAAGTAAAATACCCCTTCCTGTTACTGGAAATCTACCTACAGGAACTAGTACTTATACATGACGTTTTGTTCACCTAAGTGAAACGGCTCTCAAGTTATCGGTATTTTAGATTTTAGAAACCAGAAATAAAGTACCACTTACATATGTCGGAGGTCACACAAATTTGAATGTAATCCAATATATTATACTTGTGTACAAAGTTTCTTCTACCTAACTGAAGCAGTACTCAAGTTTATGTGTTTTCACGGAAATAGATTTAAGTACCACTTCCGGTTACCAGAAATAGTTCAAACGTTTATAGAAACATGCGCAAACAACGTTGTACATATATATATATATATATATATATATATATATATATATATATATATATATATATATATATGTTACCGAGTCTATTTACCCGCAATGCCAAATGTTACCGAGTCTATTTACTTGCAGCGCCAAATGTTACCGAGTCTATTTACTTGTACTATCTTTGACCAGCACACAACAGCAACCACAATATAGATACTCGGAAGTGCAGGTTTACATTTATCTCTTTATTAAATGAATCAATAGAAATGCTCCACATAGCAATGCATCAATGTTCCACAAGAATACAATGAACCAACTGACCCCCACTGTCCTCACTAGTCCTCACATATCAGAATACACGTGTCCATGGTTCAGGCTTCCAACCTTCTTCTCACAACTTAAAACACGTCTCCTCAGTTCAGGCCTCAACTTCTGTTCTCCCCACTACTGTAGTGCCGTCCTATTATATCGCCTCGTATTCGTAATCGGTTCTATCCGTTGCATCATAACTATGAACTACGCAGTTCTGTCGTACAGTCCGATTATTAGACTTTTGTTTCTATTTCTGTCACACCACCTGCATCCGTTGCATCAGTTCAGTTTGGCCTTGGTCATGTCTTAGTTGACAGACTGTATTGCGTTCTTATCAATCGTCTTTAGTAACTACACTAGTTACATCCACCCCGCCGTTTTTTTTGTGTGTTCTGAACCACAAACAATGTTTGGCAGGTGCACTTCACCAATGTCAACCGCAACACCATAAAAAAAAATTACTGTTCTACTTACTGTCAATGTCGTCACATTCATAAAAGATTGACAGTTATCCCTATTTCAAAATATTAACTGTGTCTACATCATATTCCTCAGACACAAAGCAGTTCTAGAATTCACATCCACCCCCGCCGTTTTATTCTTTTGGTGTCATCACCAGTTCACTTTTATAGCTTTTGGACAGTCTGTCCTCATACCAGCGCGACCATGAAAGAATTGATGGTTGCTGACGAAAATTTTCGTACTCTTTCTGTTCCTCAAACTTCTCCGCGGACCACTTATCTGATATTCTACTGTCTCTCTACTTCTGGGAGGACCGGGATCATCATTGTTGCAGTTATAACACTGAGTTTTATTGGCAGCATCTGGACATTCACGAGCCAAATGGTCATTAGCTCCACACCTGTAACAATCTCTTGCCATACTAAGCTGAGCCGTAGGACATTCTCTTGAAATGTGACCAACGCCACCACATCCATAGCACTTGCGGTCATCTGGACCGCGATCTTCTGGACAATCACGAGCCAAATCCAGCGAGTAATGCAGAGTGCTATGAGTGACTTTCTATTTCAAATAATGTTGGTGTACTTGGATGATATACTAGTTTATTCAAAAACTTGGGAGGACCATCTAAAAAGATTAGAACAAGTGTTTCTCCGTCTTAGGGAGATTGGAGTAAAGCTGAACCCAGACAAATGCTGCTTTGGTTTGAAATCGGTACATTTTTTGGGTTACGTGATTTCGTCGGATGGCATCGCCACTGACCCAGATAAAATTGCAGCTGTTAAAGAATGGAAACAACCAACAACTACGGTAGAGGTCAGGTCATTCTTGGGCTTTGCCTCCTATTATAGAAAATTTGTGCCTGGTTTTGCAAAAATTGCCGCACCATTGCATGACTTGGTAAACAAAATGACAAAGAAACACAGTAAGGAGAAAAAGAAAGGTAAAACACAACTGATAGGTGAATTATGGACTGATGAATGCCTGAACTCGTTTAAGCTATTGAAAAAGGCTTTGACAGAGGCGCCGATATTGGGATACGCGGACTTTGACAAACCATTTCGGCTAGAAATTGACGCCAGCTCTAAAGGTCTGGGAGCTGTGCTATCACAACAACAAAAGCAAGGTTTCAGGGTTATTGCGTATGCCAGTCGAGCTCTGAAGGGATCAGAGAGGAACATGACAAATTACAGCGCCATGAAACTAGAACTTTTGACATTAAAATGGGCTGTGACTGGGAAATTCAGGGACTATCTATTAGGTGCTAAATGTGTGGTATACACTGACAATAACCCCTTGAGTCACCTAAAGACAGCAAAGTTGGGATCCATCGAACAGCGATGGGCAGCAGAATTGGCACTCTTTGACCTAGAGATAAAGTATCGCCCGGGGCGGTCCAATGGCAATGCGGACGCCTTATCAAGGAATCCTTACGAGAGACCGGGTGTTGAGGAAGAAACGCTGACAGGAATATGTGAGGTCAGAGCGTCAACAGATATCCCTCATGGGGTACAAGTGATGCAAAACGGGCAGACCGGGGTGGAGCACATATCCACAGAGCCCGGAGATATGGACAGCAGTGATTTTAATTGCCTTAATCACAAAAAGATAAGAGATGCCCAGAGAACGGATAGTGGCTTACAACCGCTATTGAAATACGTCCAGGAACAAAAATTCCCAGGAAGAAGGGAAAGAGAACAATTTGGTCGAGAAACAAAGAAAATACTGAGTCAGTGGGACCGTCTCAGTATAGAGGATGGTGTTCTCATGCGGAGAAT